ACTTTGTAGCATCTGAGGGTAATCTGATTTACCGGTGGTATTGTCTGAATGTTTTAAAAGCATGTTTAATTTATCATGCTATGGACAGAGATTGGATGCTGATTTTAAAAAAAATTACTCTGATGGAGGTGATTTCCAGATCCTTTCTTCATTATCTCATCTATTTTTTTTTTCTTTTTTAGAAGAGTTGTAAGCCGCCCTGCATTTTTTGTTGCACTCAGTGGAAAGGAACGTGAAACATCCATCAGGCTTTAAATTTTTTATTAAAACAGCTGAATCAACAGTATTACTGCTCAGAAAGAGTAGGCTTTTTGAAATGTATTTTCACCTAATTCAATTCTCCTTAAAGCCAAAGTATTATGGTGAAGTTCACTGGGAACAGAATTAGGCTCATTTGAAGAGGTGTTTGTTTTTTCTTTTTTTTTTTTAAGTTCCAGCCTAAATGTACAATATTGGGTTCCCACCTTCACAGCAGGGAGGTGATAATGTGCATTGCATAGTAGTAGTTTGTGACCTCTAACATAAACTTTTCTGTAGCTTATAGAATGAGTTCTGGTTCATGCTTTTCTTTTTTTATTCTTGCTTGAAGGCAAAGAGGAAAAAGCAAGCAGCTCCAGAAAAGCCTGTAAAGAAACAAAAGACTGGTGAAAGTTCAAAAGGTGCAGCTTCTTCTAAGCAAAGCAGTAACAGAGATGAGAATATGTTTCAGGTAAAATTCATGACTCTTAAAGCCTGGTTACAGTAACATGTTACATCATATTCAGTATAAATTTTATGAGGTGATTTGAATATCTTCACACCATAGTGCTTGGTCTACTGAAACCGTGGCCAAAGGGGATTTTACAATGCTAGCATGCAGATGAGATGCTCAGGAAAAGCGTGGTCAGTTTTCAGCAGAGTAAAAAAAAATCTGAGTTGTAGCAATTGATCTAACCCTCATGCCTTTGCCCATGGTAACTCTGGGTAGTCATTTTGTTGGTAAATACAGCACTTACCTGAGTATATTGTAAATATTAGATCAGGACTATCTCTACATGGAAATGTTTTTTAATCAGGGCTCTTGAAAGAAAGGTTCTTGGAAACCAAAGTATGGACTCTTCATTCCTGTTTAACTAGGTCAAGGGCAGCTTAGCTCCTGTATTATAAGGCAGTATTTTGGAATAAGTTTTGCTTGTTCCTTTGTTTTATGATGCAGGTTTTTCTCACTGAACATACAGAAAGATTGTAATTTTTGACATTGTCCTAGTTTTTAAGATGGGATGAATGTACAGTTTTCAGTAGCAAGGTAAATTTGTGAATTCAGGGTACTGCAGTTCCTTGGGTTAGCCCAGGCAGCAGCAGCGTGTGCTGAAAGCTGTGCAAGAATTTACGTAGCTCAGAATTACCTGTTGTAGGGGTGTGGATCAAGACTTACTAAGTGTCTCTAACTGGAAAGGAACTTAAATTCTTGGAGGCATTGATTCTTAAGTTTGTGAAAGGGTATGGGAGAGGTGCCTGATAAGATGTCCCCAATATTGAGTAAGGCAAAAGACATGGTTTTGAGCTGCAGCTGTGCAAAGTAACATGGCAAAAAAAAAAATCTTTCCTAGGGAGAAGACCTGCTTAATTGATACTGTAATACAGGGTGGTTATTTTTAATGTATCAATTCACAGTTTCCTCTTCACATATAGCTGGGAGGGAGAGCTTCAGCTGAAGCCAATTCCTGGATTTACCCATTGAAGGAAGAATATAGTATTTTTAGTTCTGCTGGGGCATGCTTTGGATAGGAATCTGCAGGAAAAATGGCATAGTGTCTTCTACACCTTATGAGGTGAACTGCAGTTAGAACTCAAAAAAACTGTGTATTGGCTTCATGCTATGTTTATAATAAGCTTGGAAATTCCAGCCTTGGAGAAAGCTGTTAAAATTTTTAATGCTCCCCTGATGCAAAAAACCCCAAACCCTTTCAAATAAAAGCAAAAGTATTTGTGTGCTCTGATTTCTTGCAATCTTTTTGACCTAAGATAATAAAAAGTTACTAAAAACAGACAGTAGAGGACTCCTATTAATGTGATAAGAACAGGATTCTTCTAGTGTTGAGTATAATACAGAAAAAATATTTGAATATCACCTTGACCTAAAATATCAGTGTTAGTCTCTGCCTGCCTTTTAGTTAATCATCAACAACATACTTTTTAGATCACTTATGTGAAGCATTGTGAGTTTTTTCATGCTACATCAGCTTATGTGCATTAGCTAAGATGCAACTGTTTCAGTGTAGAAATAGCACTGTAGGTCTGAGGATGCTTCCCCTCTCCCTCCTCTGTCCGGGAGAGCAGCTAAAAGATCTAGTTGCATGGTAATTTTTTAGGTGCAGTTTCATTTGTTCTAGGACTATTAGTAATACTAGAAACTCTCCTCTCTGCTTTCCCATGGCAGTAAAATGCTCTCTGATGTGCAAGTGACTTTGCAGTAGAACTTAGAAGTTTGGCAGGTTGTGAAGCATTCATAGGATAGACAGAAGTTCTGTGGTGTCCATATTGTGTGTGGGAGTGGCAAGTAAATGATTTGAAACTTAGAGGCTTGTTGTTCTACACCCTTAGGCTGTTCTTAAAGTATACAGCTTCCCTTAATACAGAGCTCATTGTGACTGCTGTATTGAGAAGATTCAGCGTTTTCATAAAGATCTATGTTTTGTTACTTTTGTTTGAGACTAATGTTGGTGTAATGGTATTCTTGAAACTAATTATGAAGAATAGTATGAATGTAAACAGAAGGGAATTAATTCAGTGTAAGAGACCACAAGCGTATTTTATTTATTTACATGTCTTGGCCTTTTATAGGTTTCATAGGTAGCCTAGTATACTCTGGAATTTGTTAAAGGATTTGGGTGCAGTTGGGGTGCGAAAATTTACTTTACTCCCATTTGTGTTGTATTACTAGAGGCCCTAAGGACAAGCATTATTTATGTTAGTGTGGAAGGGTTTAGTGTTGATACATTAGATTCCTCTCTGTGGCTTCAAGCCAACGTGAGCTCTGCATCATGTGCTTTGGTTAGTTTAACAAATCCTGTCATCTACCTATGCCTGATTTGGATAAGGTTTGTTAACGCTGTCAGGATGCAGTATTAATGACTGCCCAAAGTGGAACCACATCGCACGATCAGGCATTTAACTGAAAGTGTTACTTCAGAAGTCATCTGTGTGTTGTCCTGCTTCCCTCCCCCCTCTGCTTTTTATTATTTTTTTTTTTTTTTTCCTAAAGTTTGGGTTTGGGTCATATTTAGCTTTTAACTTGTGAGAAATAAGTTCTTCGATTTCCCAGTTGTAATGTCTGTATCTGTCATGGGCTCCTGAAAGTAGACAAATATATAAGTTTATGATGCTCTGCAAAGGTGATTGGTTTAGTACATTAATTCTGAAACTTAGGTGGTTACCGATGCATTTCACAATCAGTTTGCTGTGTTGCAGATCTCATTGTTTACAGGGCTCTTTATTTTGCTCCTCCTAATGCTGTACATACAGTTATCAGCTAAGAAAGACAGATGCTTTTTTGCTGTTTCTACTTCCACAGTGTGTATACAGTTTAATCAAGACAAACTGGAGATAGGAAGAAAAATGGTGAAGAAGGTCATTGCTGAAACTCACACAGGAAGTCAGTTGCATAGCTGAGAAAGGAACCGAGACACAGTTCAGTGCATTTTATTCTAAGAAACGGAAACCTGGAAATAATGCTTTTAATGTCTTCTGATTTATGTAATTCAATAGAACAGTATAATCTAAGGAGCTGTAATATTTAATAAAAAGCACATGGACTCATCTATGAAGGTTGAACTGCAGTAATTACACAGCAACAAGTCAGTACAGCCCTTGGAATGCTACTGTGGTTATAGAGATACAAAGATGTCTTAGGTCAGTGGAATTATTCTAGGACTATCAGCTACTGCATGAAAAAAGAATTGTTCAGAAATGAATCTGTCCCAGAATTGCAGGTAACTGAACATCAGGTAACATCAGTTTACTTACGTAGTTAAATCTAGTTTTGGTCGAGGTTTTTAACCTTAGATGTTAATTGAAACTGTACTTCGAAGCCTAGTTAGACCTTCAAGCAGTGGCAACTCTTTCGCATAGAGTTCAACTAAACATTCAAAATTTTATGTGAACATTCAGCTGAAGTCTAGACAGTGGTGTAAATCCTAACTTAATTTCAGCATTTTCATATGGAACTGTTTCCATTTAATGTAGGCTTACTGATTGTGGAAGTGTGAACTTTTCATTATTGCCCCTTGCTTACTGTAGTTGATTTAAGACATATAGTCTTATCCTTAAAATTCAAATCCTAAATGCTTCTACTGTATTTGCAGCTGTAATCTGCTATATTGTGTCAGATTTTCTTTTTTAGAGCAATCTGGGATTACTCGGAATGCACTAATATTCTTTGATAGCCCTGGAAAAAAAAGGTGTTGCAGAGTACTACTACTAGAAGCTGTTCTTAGAGGTGACCTTAAAAGTCACTTTGCTGTGAGGGGAAGCGTTAAGGGGTAAAACCAAGAAACGTTCATGTAGACTGTTTGGGATATTCTTTGCCAGCAGTGCTGACGGACTTGGGCACAGAACCAAGTTTGGTCTGAAAAAATTAAGCTACCATGACATCATACCTTATTTTTGAATGTTAAATTTGTAGTACTGTGAAAGTATTTAATAAATCAATCAAAAAATACTATCTTTCTAAACTGTAATGTTTTGCTTATTTTAAAGGATACTTTGAAGTAGGAAAACTGCTTCAGGCTTATGATATCTAAAGATGTTCTAATTGTTTTAAAATAATTTTTAGAGTTAATTTAGCATGACTTGCATAAGAAAAATAATTAAGCAAACATAAACCATTCTTGTTTTTATCTATTTTGTGAAATAACAGCTTATGACGTGAACCTCTGTGGATGATTTTAGTTCATTGGAGAGTTGTTCCACCTTTCTGATTAGATTTAATGTTAGAAAGATGTGCTTGGGCCCTCATTAAATTGTATCAAAACACAAGATGCATAAACTAAGGCAGTTGGAAACTAAAGTTAATATTCTGTCAGGAAGGATTGGTGTATTTTAAAATTATTTACTTCAGAATGTGTTCTTTCTTCATAAAGTGTATCCAGGAAGTGCATACAGAATTCTAAGAATTTCTTATGTGAATTGTATTTGGCTGTGGTTTTATTATCCAATTTCTGATTCTCAGATTCACATTATAACAAATAGTTTTTTACAAATTTGGAAAGATCTTTAATGAGCTTAAATATGTAGTGTAATACATAGTTGTCAGCGTGACTGCTCCCCTTCCCTCAAGTGGCCCCCCCCCCCCCAAAAAAAAAAAAAAAAAGCACCTCCATAATTCAGTTAAGCCACAGTGGTGCAAAAGTAATTTCACACTATGCTACATGCTGGTAAACTTAAAGGATTCAAATGTTTTTTTTGAAGACCTGGTACAATGAGTTAGTCTTTTAACCACAGTTCCAATGAAGTGCCATGAGGACTTGGGAGCAGGCATGGGACAGTTGGTGGCTGACTTTCACTTCCATCTGTGTTTAAAAAAACCAAGCAAACCCCAAACAGAAACCCCTCTAGAAATTGTGGTTATCTCATATGAATATCTAATTTGCTTTCTGTACATATGGAATGGACTAAAATTTAGATTTGGGAGTAGAGCTCCCTCTTAAGTTTACAACTGCTGCAGACAAAGTTGGTCAAAGCAAAATTTTATTTCAGAAAAAAATAAATTAGTGGCTTTTGTAAGCAGTAAGTGTGTTAAGAATATAGGTATTTTTATTCAAGAGGAGCTACTTTTACGCTGAGCATTGAATGCTCAACTGTTTTAAGTCGTTCATCCATTTATATTGTCATTACTTATTAGCCTACTGACTACTCTGGATAAAGCTTTTGATCTAGTTGTTTCTCTGGTGTCTAAAATAAGCTGCAGTTTGCAGTGTCACATGTCTGAGTCTGATACTGCTCGGAAAAGTGCATGCTGTAATATGTAAAATACCTAAAAGACCCTTATATGTGTTTTGACAGATTGGCAAAATGAGGTATGTCAGTGTTCGTGACTTTAAAGGGAAAGTCTTAATTGATATTAGAGAATATTGGATGGATCAAGAAGGTGAAATGAAGCCTGGCAGAAAAGGTATTGTTCTGCTTCATGTTATTTTATATTAAAACATTGTCTGCATTTTCTGGAGAACTTTGTGTATCAGATTTTTATACTTTGTTGCTACATGGTATTTTTAGAGTAATATTTTTACTTTTTTATAGTTTGTATTTTAACAAATGACTAGTTATATCTGTTGATTATAAACAAAGCCAAAGTGGGCTTGTTGGCCTGAGTCTTTTTCCTAAATGGATCCTCCATGATTTATGGAAAACAAGGCATCAAATGCGAATTTGGTATGGGAATTACAAACATGGCTATACTTTGTGCCCCCCCCCTTTATTAACTTAATCAACACAATTTCTTTCTTTTATTAATGTTGGATTTCTTATTTCAAAATTAACTGAAAATATTTAACTTACTCATTTGTGATGCTAATTTATTTAAAACAATTATGTCCAATTTCTGTCAAATCTTAGCTTAAAATACTTAAAACATTTAATGTAACTGATGTTGGAAAAAAGATGTCAGCAATTTAGAAAATAAGTCAAGCGTTCAAGTTTTGGTCCTGTGCTTCTAATCTGCAGCACAGCATAAGCCATTGTACCTTTAATTGCCACTCCCATACCTGCTTTTTATGGCATGCCTTCACTGAACCATTTTCAGAACTTTGCCATCTGCAAGATGAGGGTGCGAGGGTAGTTCTAGTAGTAGTGGTTTGCTTAATGTCATGTTGCTTGTTAGAAAAGCCTACTTTTAATCGGTTTTCATACTGCGCCAAGGAAAGAGGTAAGTATGAAACATTCGGCTCTGGAGATTGAAGACATCTAATGTACAATCAGCATATGGTTTGCTACATTCTTCTGGTGTGTCCAGGAGCAACTCAGTGAACAGACATTTGGAAAGTTTGAGAGGCATTTTCAACAGTTCTTAAGTAACCACTGAGAATAGGTTTGTATCAACAGATGTACTGGTACTGTACAGGAAAATTTCTTGGTTTGGATTTGTCGTCGCTACTTAACAAAAAAGATTACTCTAAGCTCCAAGGACTTCAGTGTGCTGTGTTTTGAGGTGGAAGTAGAAAATATATGCAGTTTGAGTAGCAAACTACAGTGAGATTTGATGGGTAGGCCAAGTGACAAAAATTACATGGTATCGATAGAAATATTTATCAGTGTGGCAAAAGGGTCTGAATCTTATTAGGGTAAAATAAATAACAATCTGATACAGTATGTGAGTCAGATGTTCCATTGAGGCACTTAGGAGCAGCTTATCTAGCTCTCCTAAAAACAGTATAAGCAGTTGAAATTGTGTAATTAAAAAAAAACAGAAAAAAAATCCAACCGTTTAAGTTATTGTGTCAAATTGTTTCAAACAGCAGGTCTGAACTGCATGTAGTTCATCTAGCATGTGGTTCAGGGACATCTTGACGACATTTGGTCCTCTAATAATGGCTAGCACACCTGACCTAACTGTTTTCAAAAGAAACCTGCCCTCTAAAGACTGGTGGAAAACTGCTTAGAATAGCTTCATGAAGACTGCTTGCTGCTCAAAATTATGGTGATGCTCTGATGAGACAGTGATGGTAGAAGAGCGGGGATAAGAGCCTGGCTGGAGAGAGTGTGGGAGGTACTTGCATGGAGGTGGCATGGAGACTGTAGGAGAAGAATGAGGAGGCTAAAGCACAGAGGAAACATATGCCTAGACTCGAGCTTGAGGAAGGACAAATTTCTAACTGGGAAATGGCTTGTAGGGCACTACATTATTTTTGATCGAATGCCACTAGAAACTATAGTGAACTTGAAGTGGAAAAATAACTTCCACGTTGGTTTGTGAGTGCTAGGGAGTGGAATAGAGTCTCTCCAAAATGTTACTTACAGTACGTTTTATTTACAGTGCTTTAAGAAACAGGAGGAAAAAGTGCTTAGAAGTTCAGTCCACACAGGTATGGCTTTTAGCAGCCATCGGGAATATGAACGATTTCTCATTTCTCTCAGGGCTTTTGCGCTGCCTTCTGTCAAGGCCAGAGATGTATTTCACTTCCTGTGTTTAGCCTACTAACTCTTGGGAATGAATTTGTTATGCTGTACTCATTTTCTTTGTAACTGAAACCTGCCCAGAGAAAAGCTAACTCTAAAGTTAAACTGAAGCGTTCCAAATGAGTAGTTTCATTTTGTAACGGAGATGATTGTTGAAGTAGCTCAAGCGTTAATAGCGATGACATAGACATAGGGTATGAAACCAGCCTTGATAGTAATTATGCAAGATCCTGCACCACAAGTGGTTTTTTTTTTGTCTTAAGTGTTTATTTTTAATGCATTTCAGGTATTTCTTTAAATCCAGAACAGTGGAACCAGCTGAAGGAACAGATTTCTGATATTGATGATGCAGTAAGAAAACTGTAAAGACAGAGCCATACAGAAACTTTTATCATTTTAGTTGTTTTAAGCGGTCTTTTTACATTGGCTTTTGTTTTCTAAAATATTGTTTTCCAAGCTATTGTATATTTGGATTGCAAAACGATTTGTAAGATGAATACTTTTTTTATGTGTATTAAAAGTGTATTCTGAGTGAGGCTATTTGTCTATACTTTACTAAAAGGAAGTGTGTTGCTTTCACCTCATGGTGTAAAATAAAACAAATCAAATAATATGTAAAGCATACTTGTTTATGGCCTTTTGATTGAAGGTGTTTGCTGATAAGGCCACCTAATAGCTTTAGTCTTTCCTTTAGTTTCAGTTAAGTTAACAGTTGAGTTTGTTTTCTGGGGAGATTTCTTAAAATGTCTCCATGTAATTTTTTTCTTTTATTTCGTACTCTTTTGGTATTGCCCTGACAGCTTTCTGCTTTAAGACTTGATACAAACAGTGAATACTTGGTAAAACACATTTTTGTAGATAATTTTAAATACTGTATTTGCTAATTTACCCTATTTATTCAGATGTAAACAGTCCTGAGTATATAGACTTTTTTTGCATTACTTGCATGAAGTGTTACGCTAAACAATAACACTCAAACACAAGCCACATGCTATTTCTTCCCATTTTTCTATAGCTTGCTTGACTTAGAAAATACAATTAGCCTTTTTTCTTGGACCCTAGATTTTAGAATGTGATGCATAAACTTTTACAGTAATAGACATATACCTCAGAGTAAGATAGTGTTTAAAAGCTCCAAATGTGATTATTAGGTACCCTTTTCAAGCTTTACATTAAATTCATTCTTGAATACATACTAACTAGTTATTCTATAGGAAAGAACAGTTAACCTGTCTTTGTAGAGCATATGTTTGTTTGAGAGTCTTGCATAAACAATGATGCTTAAACTAGGCTGTAACACAGGTTACACAGTCAAACAGGGTTAAAATTGCTTCAGCCGAAACATCTGGCTGTCATGCTTCTGCCCTGCCCACACTGCCTGCCCAAACCACTTAACTTGGCTTGCTTTGTGTGGCTTACATGTGCACAGCTGTTCTACCTTTTGTACAGAAGACACTTGGCGCTTAAGTGAAGCGCTGGTGCATAGTGGATCATGACTCTAGCAAGCTTCACTTATCAACCATTGTACTGTTCTGGTAAGAGAAGCTTCTGTCCGGTGAAAGTTCTCTAAGAGTAGATGCTGCCCCAGTTGAAGGGCTTCTTGGTAGATGTCACGAACAATGGAATGAAGAAGGGAAAATGTGTTTGAGTAGAACTTGGCGAGATAAGGGGCATGCCAATATGAAAGTTAACGATGAAAGATCAAAGTTAGCTGACATATAATAGCTACAGTGAAGAAATGTATGTTAGTGGAGTTGGGGAAGAGTTCATTTTCTGACTTAATTCAGTTAATCCAAGGAAGAAGATGAAACAACTTCATGAAAATTGACATTTCAAGACTTATTAGTGAATGTACAACTAAATTGGTTTGGCTGTAATTTTCCCATTTTATGTTAATCTATTTTTAAAATTTTGTATAGATAAACCAGGATTTACTATTTGTTTAATTTTGGGATTTCTTAATATTATTGTTTATATTGCCAACATCCATGGAAGTGCCATACACAGACTGTTCCTGTGCTGCAGTTTATAATTCAATACAAATAGGTATTGAAGGGTGAGGAAGGGTAACTTCATCAAATTAAATATGTTATTTAATTTAAATATTATGTCAGATACCTCCACCTGCTTTTTAACTTACCCGTTATTGACATTACAAACAAAGTTAAGGTCCGTTTTCGTACAGCTCAGGAAATCTGAATTTTTAAGAACTGCTTGAGGGTGAATAAAAAGGTGAAGAGATGTTTTGTGGTAGCAGATGCATTTTTGGGCACATTCTTTAAGTGACTCTTAAAGGCATGTAGGGATATTTGGACCAAATAGAATAAATATGAAGTATCTGCTAAAATTTCACAGATGAGTGAATTAAATTAATTGCTTCATATCACTGTTGTTGACAGGTTGTAGGTGGGGTTTTTTATGTGGTATGTATATATGATTTTTTTCCTTTAAATCTGAAATTGTACAACCAGATTTCACCCATTTTTACCTCAAAACTTTCATGTTGCTACTTTAAAGTGCATGATTATCATATTAGAGGGAACATTGTCCTCACTCAGATTACTGTGGTAGTGGGTCATTGGGTGGCAGCAGTGTATCAGTACAGTACAATGGTGTACAGGAAGGTGGAGAATTAAATTTGTTCATCTGGGGGGAATAAGTGAAAAAGCTTCAATATAGTGATTAGTTCTCTTGTGGAAACTGATGGTAGAGGTGTTCAAAGAAATCCGTATTTGTTAACAAAGGACTATTAGTTCCTCTTATACATAACCCCCTTGCTGAATTTGTGGTGATAATTTCTGGAGCTGTTTATCCCATTTTACTTGATAAAACTTGGGGCAGCTTGATTTTTACTTAGCTTCTGTGTTTAAAAATAGTTTCCCACCTGCCAGTTACATTTCTGCCTATAATAATGATAAAATATCATACATATTACCTGAGCCAATCTTACATCTGCATGAGTGTCCTACAAAAAAAGGTAACTAAACCAGTCAGTTTCACAAATGAATTCCAAATGGGATGTGTTGAATTGTGAGGGAATTTGTTGCACCTCAGATGACTGATGTGCTTGTTACTTGATAAAAATTTGACACATTCAATGTTATTTTGAAATAAATAGCTGATAGGGATTCGTCGTGTAATTTGTAGTCTTTCTAATTTGAGAAGAAAATTCAGATTTTTTTGAATAAAGATTATTTTCTTGCAGACAAAATGGTAGTTAGGGTACATGTGGAAGTGTCCATGGAAGAAAATTGTGCATGTATGAGAAGACTGTGTAATATGAGGTAAAAACACCGCTCCCTTTCCCATTGAAGTGGCAAAAAAAAGATGCATTTGATTCTTGATGTTTATGCAGGGCATATTAGCAATATGTTTTATAAATTAAACCTTCTATGGAGCTTAGGAGGAAAAAAATACATCACAGTTAGAGCTGCCAAAGTACCATATGTGTGATAAATCAAACTGTCATGTACGATGTTGCTCTTATGTAGAGATGTTCATATTGAAATTAAACGAATGCAGTACTGAGTTTGATATTTCTGTTAAAGGAAATGCCCCAGTTACGTACTCCTTATGTGATCTGTTAGCAAAAAAATTGATGATTGTAATTCTGGTAACTCAAATGTCATATTGTTAACCATGTGGAATGTTTCATGTTTTGCTCTGGTGGTATCTACTGCAGAGAGGCCACTGGAAATATGAGCCCTCCAGCTGTAATTACCTTAATGTTCAAATAAAAAATAGTTAAATGGCATACGTGTAATAACAGTTTGAACACTTGGAAATAAATGAAGACTTCTGTTCACATAGTGTTATTTTTAATAGAAATTTAGCTGCACTAAAACATTTTTTCTTAAATTGTTATGGAAACTGCTGGTTTTTGCAACTGTTGTAATGTGGAAATTTGAAAACTTAATCATTTTATACTTGGTCCATATTTGTGGGTGGGGGATTGATTGCATAGCCTGGAGGGATGGAAGTTTTTCACTATGATAGAGGAACAAGTATCATGTAAACATGGAAGCAGCAGAAATAAACACACTTTCAAACATCAAGCGGAAGGAAGGTGCCTGATAAGTCGCTACTGTTAAGAAAATGGCTGATTATCTTTTTCAGTGGAGTTTCTTCTTGATCTGACTATAAATGTAGCCATAGATTAGATAGAAAAAAGCTTCTTGCCCATTTATTCATTGGTCAGTTTAGGTCAGTGTAGGCTTCTTTACAAAGGGTGTTTGTTTCTCACGTGCTCGCTGTGACTGATTTGTAGGGAGTGGATTAACTGACCATAGCCTTGAATCTAACAGATTTTTCTTCAAGTAATTTTGATTAGTTTAGCAATCTATAGCCACAGAAATGATTGTGGCTCAAAGGGAAGAAATGGAGTTTGGGGTTGACGGAGGGTCATTGTGTCCTGCCTGTTTCTCATTTACTGCTGTCCACTCACTGGTGGTAGTGGACTGTAGTTCTGATGATGGGGTGTGGAAGAACAATTGGATAGGCAGTGGATCTCCCGTTGCACATCAGGCCTGTATGTCCCCTGCTGTCAGTATTGTTACCTGGAAGTGTGAAGACACTTGCTGAGGAACTGAAATAAATGGCCCTTGGCTTAGTGATGGTTTATCAGGGAAGCTTAAATTGCGCTGTCTTGTGAACAGAGGGATTTGCCATCAGTCATGGGGATAACTTAAAGGCTGAGGAATCGGTGACAGCTGTTCCCTTTGTATTGTGCCTCATTTAACAAAAATGTCAAAATTTTTTGTAAGATCTGCTTAACTTGGTTTTAATTGTACTTCCTTTTTCCTCTCAATGAATCCGTTTACTTGTCATTGTTGGGGTGGTGAATGAGGCAGGAAGTGAGTTTGGGTTGAGGACTCAAGTTTTTAAAAACATCTGTTATCCTTTGGAAAGAGATGGGCTCTCAATCCTCAGGGTGAACAGACCCTGCTGTAAAACTGCAGAAGTTGGTGGAATGAAGAGACTGTTCTTGGAAATATCTAGGTGTGTGTGTGATAAGGCTAAATAAGAAAAACATTTTATGCCTCCATGGCCAGCGTGCCTAGTAGACTACTGTTAGTTCACTTGGGCAGAGGTTAACGAGATAAAAAATGCTGAAGTAAAGAAATGGTAAGGTTTTGCATAACCCTGTTACTTGTGTTGTTATCTGAAGAAGAACTGTTTCACACCTGAAGAGTTTAAATGTTTTATGCTTTCACTAATAGGCTAATGTGTCAGAACAGTTTTCAGGCTGTTGAAAATAAAGCCCATTTCATCTCAGGAACAGAAAGACATAAGTTGTTCTATTCCCTAAAATATCATCACACAACATACCCAAGGGAGAGGCGAATGACAATGTATATTAAGAATAAACTTGAGATTGACGTGACCCTAACAATTAACTTCTTGAAAGCTAGGTGGTATAAAGCAATAAAGCTTTGCAGCCTGTTTGTGGTGTTCTATGTAATCTTTGAAGCTTTTTGCTAGCTATCTCAACATGGAATGGCTGCAGAACTCTGCTGTTTCCTCTGCTTTCCGTTTACTACCCCTTACTGGGTTCTGCAGCTCCCTTTGCATTTCCGCTATTACTTGTATTCTGACTGGAAACATCCTTCCATCTCTTGGAACACAAGGATCCCTGGCTATGCTCACATTATCCGAAGGCAAGGAGTATCTTAGCGATTGGATCCTAACGATAATTGGCAGATACAGCTGCTGTTGCTAACACAGACCAATTAATGGTCATATGTCTTTATTTTTTTTTACTGTTATGATAAAATATACTTAAAATAGTTGGATTAGTCTGGCAAGCATGCATACCTCCCAAAGGAAGTGAATTTCTTCATACTAGCTTGCATTGTTTTCTGTGGTGAGAGTACTGGACAAATGCTTTTCCCTCTGAAGTGATTATTAACAACTTGGAAAATACAGCAGTGAGACAGTTCCAGGGGTAAAAAAGAGTGGAGTCATCACCTGGATATCTGCTTGCCAGAAGCAAAGATATTTGTAATTGCAGTGGTTTGGTTAATGGAAAGTAAACTCAGGTGCTTGGGTAGCCTAGAAGGTTCCTGAAGTGCCACGTAGGGCATGAGTAGCATTCAGGATGATGCAAAGACTGCCCTCCTGTCCATTCAAAGAAACCTTTGAACAATGCTAATCCGCAGTATGCTTCTCCCTACATATACACTACTTTTTTATCCTTTTTTTTTCCTCAGAGATTTGTCAACGTGCGTTGCGTTAGTCCTGTTTCAGCAGCAGGAGAACTAGTTGCCCTGATCTACTCTTGAGCCACTTCTCTGAGGCTGTGGAGGAAAAGCTCGTATCTGTTTCTCATTTTCACATAGCACCTATTATGTTACTAATCTATAGTAATGTGCCTTTCATCTGCCAAAGCAATTTGTAGTAGCCCGTGGAAGATGTTTGTGGCTTATCTATTAAAATGGGAACAAACATTTTTGGGTCTCGGGGATAATTTTTTTAAATAAGTTCTCTAGGTATTTTCCCCATGTTGATGCCTTGGTATTTTAGTTTTGTGGCACTGTTTTGCAGGGAACGGAAATGTTTTTTTCCTGTGATCATGAAGGAGTTTTGCAACTCCTTATTTTTAACGTGTTCCAGTTGCAGCTTTGAATATGAACTTTCAAGGGTCATGCTTGGATGCATTTCTTACTAGATTTTGCTGGATTCCTGGATTGTTATCTGGCTGAGGCTGTTTGCTCTGTAGTCTGAGCAACTATTGAAAAGAGAGAAGTATCTGTCAGGATGACAGAATTGCAAGCTTGCAATATGCCATGTGAAAAGGTGAGGAGAGGGCAATATGCAACTAAAGAGATGTGTTATTTTCTGCACTTTTTCAGGATGTGTTCCAGAAAAAACATTTTTCTCATTTTGAAAGAAAAAACTAAACCCAAAACTGTTAAAAACCGCTAAGCTTAAATTTGGAACCACTTCTGTTCAAACACAAGTTCATCAGACATGACCTTTTTTTATGCAATACTTTTGAATAAGTTATAGAAATGATTTTTTTCTTTTCAAGAAATCTGCCTACATGAACACTATGATTAGCACCACAAAATTTTTAAAGCTAATTGAATCTATACCAATAAATAGTTTTAAGTGGTTTTATGTGTGCTTTTGATACTTTGAAGCATTCATCTTAACTGAATACGTAAATTTCTACAAAGCTTTGTGAGAACTTTTGGGCCTTCCAGAGGCTACCGTGTGCTTTGGGCAATGAGTTTCACCTGCTTTAGGTCAGTATTGCCTCAAAGCCTTGGTATCAGCAGTCTGGTATGTTAATGAAGGGCACAACTGACCTTTTGTTAGAGCTTTTGGTGTATTTATTGAAGTCAAATTTGGATGGATAGTTAGGTTTATTAGTTAAACATTCTATTTCATGTGGTTTTGTCTTCAAGAGTTGAGATTAGAACACAGTCAAGAAATGGATGATTCTGCAATTGATATGTAGTTTAGATAATTTTCAGTTCTGTTTTGCATCTGGTTACATTTCTGCTTGAGACATTGCTAATGTGCTTCCCTAGGCATCATGTCGAAGGGAGTCCTGGTGCAAGGTAAGGTAATAATCTTCTGTTGCCAAGCAGATCTTTTCTCCATTACGGATCTTTCGAATGAAGTATGTATGGAAGGTGTAAAGAAGTGGAATAATATAACTCATATCACTGCTTTTCACATTAAAAGTGTACAAGATCGGGATTGAAAACCTTCCTGTAAAACAGTTTGACAACCTGTTGGTATATCTTCAACAGCGTATGTAATATTTCAGAGAAATGAGATTTTTTTTTTTTCATTGTTTTCAGGGTAAACCTCAATAATTACATTTTAATAATTACTGTATTTTCTCTAACAAATATTCAGACAAATCTCTCTATAAGTGGCTACTGAATGCAAGTTCTGTGCTGGCAACAACACTTAAGTAATAACTGAGTGTAGGTTAGTGCAGCGTATGTGTGTACTGTAAGTTTGTAAATGGTGCTGTGACAGATGCCCTGACTCAGATGGAGCAAGGGATGCTTTGGTTCAGGCATCACCGACCAGCGGGCCCGGCGATACCAGCCCTGCCGTGCAAACTGTGAGAACCGTGCGAGGCCGCATCTTCCCAGGGACCGGGGAGTCTGAGCCACACCTTATCAGGAGATAACAGCACCAGCCTGAGCTGGGACTAGGCAAAACTAAAACTGGTACGGCTGTGCACCTGCACAAACACCAAGGGGGGTTTGACCAGGAGCCCATCGCTTGACGCTATAAATGCCTGCAGCCTCCCCGAGCCCACTGAGTTCTCCTGATCGGCGGGGATCTCCGCCTTGAGCAGGGACCCCTCCGGGTTGCTCCTCCAGGCGGGGGGCCCCTTTACCCCCCATCTGGTATCTGCAGTGAGGTAAGCGGCATTTTACATCTGGCCTAAAAGTACATTGTATGCCGGTGACATTTATATCTATCTATCTATCCAGCTGTAGTTTAGTTATTAGAAGTAAGGTAAGTAGCAGTGTTTGACTGCTGTCTAAATCATTTAAATCATTGTCAAATCAGTGTTTGATTACCACTCGATTATTGCTTAATCACCATTTAATTTCCATTCAATCATCGATGAATTGTCATTTGATCATTGTTTAATCATTAATAAAACCTTTTTCATTAAACCCATAACGATGTCTTCTCTTAAATCACCTGCTACGGGTACTAAGTCTCATCCATGCGCTTGGATTTCTTGGATGTTGCAGAGTAGAAAGGTCATTGCAAGTG